CATAAAGTAGAGGATATGCTTGTGTTCACACCCCTCAGGTCCTCTCTGGATTCCAGCACAATGCATCAAACCTTACCATGGTGTGGCTAAGACCCAACACGGTTCCAGAGATGAGGAAACTGACCCTACAGCACCCGTTATTCCCATGCGTTCTCCCATTCAAGTACTAACCAGGCCTGACCCTGCTTAGCTTCTGAGATCAGACAGAACAGAAAGATTGGAGAGAGAAATAGTGGGAAAGAATAAGAGAGAGACTAGAAGAGACAGAGATCAGAGAGAGACACAAAAAGTAAGACAGGAGAGATATAGTAGGAAGAAGAGAAAAAAATGTTAAGAATGTTATAGATATAAGAATGCACCTTTAGTGAGGAAGGTTATAAAACAAACTGAGAAAGTTAAGGAATGTCAGAGATTGTGAAAGTCATGAAAAATGTTATAAAAATAAATTTATGTAAGAAATGTATAATTTTTGTTTTGAAGGTCTGAGCAAGTTTTAAAATGTTAATTGTAAAAGAAATTCTGTGTGTAAACATATTAGCTAAAGTTAAAGAAGTATCCAGTTTTTCTATAAACTAGACATTAAAATAAAGCACAACAGGTTTTTCTTAAAGTACTAACCTGTTCTTTAACGAAGATTATAAAAGTTCTCCCACTTAGCACAGGCACCACTCCTAGAATTTCCAGTACACCAGCACCAGCCTGGAGACTATGTCCTCATCAAAGGACGGAAAGAATAAAAATTCAAACCAGCCTAGGAAAGACCCTACAGTTCCTACAGCCCCGGACAATGCAGATTCTCAGTAGGCTAAGCAAATCCTACTCCAAACCAAACACCATTCACCCCAGATAATTTGCTCCTTTTTTATTCTCTCACTCTGCCTGCAACCAGTACTTGCTACACTCTATTCGAGCCTATCTTCTAATCTGCCTTTTTCCCCCTGTTACTTAAGCAGACACTCCCTTCCCAGCCTCTAATGACAGGACTGCTTGGCTAGGAGGAATTAACATACCCCTAGTGGGGTTCCTTAGCAATGGCACACATCAGACTACGGTGCCAGGTCACTCCTTGGGTGGAAAAGAATGTCACTGATTATACTTATGTTTGTCTTATGTTATTTACTAATTCTAGGATACAAAGCCAGAATAAGAGCAATGACACCTTGACTAACAGACCTGTTACTGAACACATCTGTACTCTTCAATCAATAAAGCCAGATGCAAAAAAAAAAAAAAAAAAAAAAAAAAAAGAAAAAGAGGAGATGTGGGAGTTCAGTCAGGGTGGTGGGAAAATTTTTAGAGGAAAAATTATAGGAAATAGTCACAAACCTTCTGGGAACGCTGGGGGGTTTGCATAGCTTCAGTAAAAGGTTTAGCTGAAGGCAGCTGAATTCTTTTAAAAGCTTAGGGCTTAGATACATAGGAATGTAGAGGAGTTTATCTAAATAGCTTGTTTACTCATGTGGTCTTAAGACCCTTTGATTACCCAAGGGTGCTTGATTGCTCTCTACTCAGGAGGCCAGCAATGTCAATTACCCTCTAGTGGTGTTTACTCAAGACCTTTGCCATTTAATCTGTACTAAATAAAACAACTTTGCTGGCTGATTGGGCTGCAGCTGCTAACTCTTTACCAGACCCTTCTCAGTATAGGTTAGCCAGACTGCCAGGCAAAATACCTGTGTCAGTGTACATTATTCATCTACCATGCAAGCCTGGGTCTGTGGGTTGGACCCCAGCAGTAAACTGCTTTGAGCTACTAAGATGCTCAGAGTCTCACAGATGTCAAATCTTACTGTGTTTCTCTTGGAAATTAAAAATATTAATTTCCTGTGAGTTGACTGGAGTATCCTCTGCAGGCAGTTTAGGAACCACTGCCCTAGTGCATAGAAATTCATTAAGTATTTGTGTAGTCCAACACAGTAAGAATGTTTGTATGGTAATTTACACAAAAATTCAATTAAGATATTGTTTTGTAAAGAGAAAAAATAGTTTCAAAACTGGCATTATGGCTCACGCCTATAATCCCAGTACTTTGGGAAGCTGAGGCGGGTGGATCACAAGGTCAAGGAATTGAGATCATCCTGGCCAATGTGGTGAAACCCCATCTCTACTAAAAACACAAAAATTAGCTGGGTGCAGTGGCGTGTACCTGTAGTCCCAGCTGCTCGGGAAGCTGAGAGAGGAGAATCGCTTGATCCCAGGAGGCAGAATTGCAGTGAGCCAAGATTGCCACTGCACTCCACTCCAGTGACTGAACAAGACTCTGTCTCAAAAACAAAACAAAACAAAACCTGGCATCATCAAATTTTTCGGTCAGATAATATTTTGGGCTTGTAGGCCATATGGTGTCCATAGCAACTACTTGAGTTTGCCATTGCAGCATCAAAGGAGAAATAGATAAAACATAAGTGAATGGGCATCACTGTGTTCCAATACAACTTTATTTACAAAAACAGCCAGCTCATAGGCTGTTTGCTGACATTTGTTATAAAAAGTCCTTTAAAAAGGTACAGCTTCCACACTAAAGTTATTAAAAAGTTATAAACAAAAGGTGAGACTAAATACCATAAGTCCATATTGATACAATTGAATGAATAAATTGAAATTTTTGTGAGGAATGGAATTACAAAGGGAAAAAGAGAAACTTCACAAAGAAAAGCTTGGCAGAAATCATCTTGAAGTAAGCATCCTCAATAAAGAAATATGAATAACATGTTGTAGGACATGCTGGGCTAAGATGCAATAAGAATACAAAATCCCTACTATGATATTAATGCCAAAAACCTATAAGTAAAAATTAATCAGGATGAACCCAAAAAATCTGAATTGAGGGTCATTCTACAAAAAACTGACCTATAATTTTCATAAATATCAAAGTCATGAAAATCAAAGAAATATTGAGGAACAGTTCCAGAAAAATGATGACTTTAGACACATGACAACAAAATTCATCTATGTGGAATGCTTAATTCTAAACTGCATCTTTTTGCTATAAAGAACAATGTTGATATAACTGGTAAATGTTGAATGTGGTGTGAGAATCAGATGCTAGCAATTTTTCAATGTTTCTTGATGTTGTTATTATATTGTGGTTACATAGGAGAATGTCTTTGCTTATTGAAATTACACATTAAAGTGTCCATGGTTGCTGGGGAATCAAGTCAACAGCTTACTCTCAATAGTTCAAGAAAAAGAAAAAGATCTTTTACTGTATACAATCTTTTTATAATTTTGAGATTATTTCTAATTTATTTTTAATTTTTAAAAATTAAACAGCAGAGCAGATACGCTTTATAAGTGCTAATGTATATTTATATCCTACATGTAAATATATAGTCTATATATATCCTAAATATATGTGGCCTATATCTTTATATACTTTATAGCTATTAATGCCATACATTTAGCAGAACTGCGGTGCTGCTCCCATCCTGGGTATCTTCCCCCATTTCCTTACCAGGCAAGCATACCTTATGGAATGCACAAGGACAATAATTACATACAGTATCATTTGCCTTTATTTAAGGCATGGAAGTCAGATAAATTTCATTCAGTCAACAAGCCTTTATTAATTATTATTAAGTTAAACTACATTCTTAGTAGTATGTGAGATAGAGAAGGAATGGTAGTAAGCATTTAAAGAATATCTGTATGTGCCAGGCAAAAAAGAAGAATGATTTCTGACCTGAAAGACTATATATAGTTTGGGTGGACAAGACTGACAAATAAATTCACTATTAGGAACATAGCATAAAATTAAGTACTAATTTACATAAATGGGTTAGCTCTATATCTTACCCCACTCATCTCAACCACATCAGAAAGAGTAATTAAGAAGTAGCACAGATGCTTAATTAAGAAAGACATGTGAGATAAGGGTAAAGAGTCACCACAAAAGTATGAAACAGTATTGACGCTACAGAGCTGAATTAACTGAGAGAACAAAGAACCATAGCTCCATCATGGAACAGAGAGAGGTGAGCCCTAGAAGACTTCTGGTATCCATCAATTCATCCACACTTTTACCTATTAGCTAGACACCTTACAGGTCCACAGTATTGCTGATGCGTAAATGAAAACTGCACACATTGTGAAGCTAATATACAAAGGAATAGGCCAGTTGGCAATTGCATAAACCTAGCTGATCATCGGAATTCACATGAAAATTAATTAGCAGTCCAGAAGAGAGAAAATAAGTAGAGGATTAGGATATTTTTCTAGTTCAGAGACTATCACAGTGAGATGATTAAAATGTGTTTTCTGATAAAAAATAAACCTGGTCAAATAAACAAGTGTATTTAATTACAGGACATCTTGAAGCCTATAATATGTTAAAAAGAGAGGGCTATTATGCACAGCATTTCACTTAGAACAGAAGCCATATTAAAACATCTAAATGTAGAAAATAACATAGAAATACAATGAATAAAAAGAGGTAGCTTCTTTGGGAGGTATAACATCAACAATAACAATAACAACTACATACAAATGCTTCCTAGGATCCTCACAGTCTTCTAAGGTGTAGTACTTTATTTTATCTTCACAACAACTCTATGACGTAATTCTGATCCCCACTGTACTTGAAGGAAAATAGGGTATGCAAAGGTTAAGTACACTGGCAATGGTCTATGGCTAGGAAGCCGTCAAGCCAGAATTCAGACGCAGGCAATCTGGCTCCAGTGCCCATGCTCTTAACCATTACACTATGTTACTTAATGAAATTCTCATTCATTTCAAAATAAATTATTAGTTAGATATTAAGCAAGAATGAAAAACAAACATGATAATTAAACAGAAGGCTAGGAATTTTAAAAGTCCTGTTCAATTAAACTGGGGATGGGGTCAGGTGGTCAAAACTCTGTAATTGCAATTATGAAGTACATAATCATGATAACCCATAGTTCATTAAAATTAAGATATATTTCAATCAAAGAATATGCACCCCAATATCTTAAACCACTCTAAAGAAAACAACATGGTGAACACTTTGGAAGGGTTCTCACCGTGATTCTCTTCATATCTAGCTGGCGCAGCTGCATCATATTCTGAAGGACAGTGTGTTTGTACCATGACTCTTGAGCTATGGGATTGCCATCAAAGGTGATGTCCGAGAGGGAAGAAGAGTCAGCAAGGCAGGAAATACTGTCAAAACTGCAGAAGAGACAGAAACCACCAGATTATTATGAGGACTTTAAATAATAGTTTCATTTTTAATAGACTTTATTTTTAAGATGGTTTTAGATTTATAGAAAAATTGAGAAGATAGTACAGAGAGTTCCCATATACTCCATACCCATTTTCCCCTATCGTCAACATCTTGTGTTAGTATAGCACATTTAGTACAATCAATCAACCAATATCAACATATTATTAGTAGCTAAAGCCCATATTTTATCCAGGTTTTCCTTAGTTTTTACCTAATGTCCTTCTTCTGTTCCAGGATTCCATTGAGGATACCATATTACATTTAGTTATCATATCTCCTGAGGCTCCTCTTGGCTGTGACAATTTCTCACTTGTTTTTGATATCAGTTATTTTGTAGGATGATCCTCTATTAGGATTTGTCTGATATTTTTCTCTTGATTAGATGGGGGTTAAGATACATATAATTTTTTTTTTGAGACTAGGGATCTCACTCTGTCACCCAGGCTGTGCTTCAACGTTGCTATCATAGCTCACCCTAACCTCAAACTCTTGGGCTCAAGCAATCCTCCCACGTCAACATCCCCAAGTAGTTGGAACTACAGGTGTGTACCATCATGCCTGGCTAATGTTTTACTTTTTGTCTACAAAATAAAAAGGGTCTCACTATGTTGTCTAGGCTGGTCTAGAACTGCTCAAGCAATCCTCCCACCTTGGCTGCCTGAAGTGCATGAGCCACTATGCCCAGCTGGTACATATTATTAACATGACTTATCACTGTTGATGTTGACCTTGATCAACATGTTTAAGGCCGAGGCTGAGGTCATGTTCTTCAGGTTTCTCTCCAATGTAAAGTTACTATTGTAGCCTCTCCTTTTCATACTCAACGTTGTAAGGAAGTCACCATGTACAGCTCACATTTAGGGAGTGGGGAGTTAAGCTCCTCCTCCTTGAGGACAGAGACTCTGGACTCATGGATATTCGTTTTATACTTTGGGTTATTATCCAGTGCAATTTTGCTTATTTTGTTGTTCAACTTGTTCCAACTTTGGCCATTGGAAACTCTTTCAATGGGCTCCTATGCCCCTTTGGCTCCCATCAATGTGGATTTTTTTTTCTTTTTCTTAGCATTTTCTTACTTTCTGGCACTACAAGATTTTCTAGACTCATCTATTTTCTAGACTAATTCCTGTCCTGGTCCTAGAAGCCATTTCTGAGGAGTCATAGTTCCTTTTATTGGCGACTAGTATTAGAAACAAAGATCTGGGGGCTAAGTGTACTTCTTGCTACTGTGGGGTCATATCCTTTACTCCCTCTCAGCTGACACAGCAAGAATATATATGTGTGTGTACAGAAACTTGTGTATATGTATGTATATATATATAAATATTTCTCTAAGTAACTGGGTCTATATTAAGCTAAAGATGAGTTCACACTGATGTCTCCAACTTTAATCCAACTCTAATCCATCACCAAATGAATCATTCTAGCCTCCTTCCCTTGCTTACCTGAAAATTTCTACTCCAGCAAGAAGTTTGGCTCCAAACCATCTGCTCTTCATTTACTTAATTATTCAATTCCAGTATGTATTTATAGAGGTATCAGAATTTTTGATGTGTACCCCCAATGAGAAACAACTTCATCAACTAAAGTACAATGGTTAGGTGTAATTGCTTTTGCAGTTAGTCTTACAGGCTCATTTCCAAAGTTTCTTAGATGAGTGTCTTTTTCCCTCAACCCTTTAGGGAGGTTGTTTCATATATTTGTAATACAGTTAGATTCTCTTGTCAGTCTGTATTCCTTTCTGAGACCCTTTAAACTCCTAAGTGATTTTTTAATTTGCATATATTAAGGTTTACTTTTTATCATGTAAATTTCTACAATTTTCCCAAATGCATAATGCCATGCATCCACCATTAAAGTATCTTAGAGTAGTTTCACGACACTAGAAAAATCCCCTGTACTTTAGCCATTTGATCTCCTCTCCTCCTCCCAAATCTCTGGCAACCACTGATCTTCCTACTGTCACTATAGTTCTGCCATTTCTAGAATGTCTTATAATTGCAATCATGTAATGTGTAGCCTTTTCAGATTGACTTCTTTCACTTAGTAATATGCATTTAAGTTTCAACCATGTCTTTCTGTGGCTTCATAGCTCATTTCCTTTTATCACTGAGTAATATTCCACTGTATAGATGTACCATAGTTTCTTTAACCATTCACCTATTGAGAATATCTTGGCTGCTTCCAGTTTTTGTTGATTATGAATAAAGCTGCTGTAAATATTCACCTACAACTTTTTGTGTGGGCATAGGTTTTCAACTGGATAAATAACTAAGAGTATAACTGCTGATTATATTTATTTTAGCTTTGTAAGAAACTACCAAACTGTCTTCCAAAGTGGCTGTATCATGTTGCAATCTTAACACCTCCCCATCCTTACCAGCATTTGGTATTTGTGTTCTGGGATTTCAGCCATTCCAAGAGGTGTGTAGTGGTATCTCATTGTTTTAATATGCAGTTCCCTAATGACAAGAGATGCTGAGCATCTTTTCATACACATACTTGCCATCTGTGTATCTTCTTTGTGTTTTCAGCTCTTTAGCTCATTTTAAATTGGATTCTTTCTTTTCTTACTGTGGAATTTTAAGATTTTTTTTAAAAACGTGGATACAAGTCTTTTATCAGATATATGTTTTGCCAAAATTTATCCCCGTCTTTGGTTTGTCTTTTCATTCTCTTAACAGTGTCTTTCACAGGACAGATGTTTTTAATTTTATGATGCCCAACTTAACAATTTTCTCTTTCATGGATCCTACTTTTGGTCTTGCCTCTAAACACGAATTGCCAAATCCAAGGCTGTCTAGATTTTCTCCTATGTTTTCTTTAGAAGTTAATAGTTTGGCTTGGTGCAGTGGCTAATGCCTGTAATCCCAGCACCCTGGGAAGCCGAAGTGGGTGGATCACGAGGTCAGGAGTTTGAGACCAGCCTGGCCAAGATGGTGAAACCCCGTCTCTACTAAAAATGCAAAAATTAGCCAGGTGTGGTGGCTGGTGCCTATAATCCCAGCTACTCGGGAGGCTGAGGCAGGAGAATTGCATGAACCTGGGAGGTGGAGATTGCAGTGACCCAAGATCATGCTACTGCACTTTGGCCTGGCTGACAGAGCAAGACTCCATCTCAGAAAAAAAAAAAAAAAAAAGAAGTTTAATAGTTTTGTTTTGTATATTTAAGTCCATGACCCATTTTGAGTTAATTTAGTGAAAGGTGTGTGGTCCATGTCTATGCTACTTTTTTTTTCACATGGACATCAATTATTCCAGTATTGTTTGTTGAAAAGCCTATCCTTTCTGTATTGAATTGCTTTTGCTCCTTTATCAAAGATCACCTGACTGTATTTGTATGGGTCTATTTCTGGGCCTTTTATTTGGTTCCGATGACATATGTGTCTACTCTTTGACCAATACCACACTGTCGGGATTACTGTAGTTTTATAAGGGATCTTTATTATGTAGCTTTGAAATGGTTTAAACACTTTGTTTATTTACTATATGAATGACACGTTTTGCTGTGATAAGAACATGAAGAGTAATTCCTCTACTTGTGAGAATGTTATATCACTCCTCATCAGACCACATATGTGAGTTACTGGGCTCAACTACCAGACTCTAAAAACACATATAAACCCAAGATTTTGACAGATTGAGAACCTAAGCTTTGTCAGGGCTACTCTATGTCAGACACTTTTAAAGCCCAGCAACACTGGCACTGCTTGCTAGTATTGAGGGACCTTGCATGTTGTCATGCATGTACACTGTGTTGATCAAACCATCTCTCCTGAAGCCACTTATGGAAAGGTGCTCTCCAAACTCTGACTAGACTTTACATCCACAGAGGCATGCTTCCATCCTAATTTAGCAAATAGACTTTAAGAACTGGACTCTAAGCTAAATTGGAACTCATTTGCTATGTGGATATTGTACTTTATCTACGGAGTATATTCTCTGTGATATTTGTTCCTGTTATTATCCCATTCTTTCAGCATTACGAATAAAAATGATAAGCTCTTTGTATGGCAATAAACTATGTGATTTGTGAAATCATACTTTGATCATCTGTTTATTTTAACTATACAAAGCAGTCTTGAAAAAGGTTACTGTGAACCCTCCAACTTTATTCTTCAGTATTGTGTCACTATTCTAGGTCTGGCCTTTTCATATAAACTTTAGAATCCAATTGTTATCTGTAAATAACCTGTGGGATTTTGATTGGGATTTTCATTTTTTAAAGAAATAATCACTTTTCTAAATAATACTACAGAGCATCTTGGTAAAACTCATTTATATTAGTCATTCTCATTCAGTACACAAATACTTTACAAATACTTTATTTATTCAGGCACTAAATTACCAATACTTCACAGTACTATAAGGTTTTTATTCAGGCACTAAAGTAAATATCTTTTCTCACTGTGTCAACAAAAGCTGGATGATATAGGATATTCTCAGTATAGAAAACAGCATAGGTACTAACAAGGTTGAGGCAAGTTCTACAGCAAGACAAAAGCCTGCTGTTTTTATTGTCATATGTAAATATTTCTTCTATGTTTTCATCACACTCAAGGTAAAAAGATACCCTGCTATTAATTATTTTATCTCAGATCTCGTCTTTACCAATCTAAAAGGTAAATCTCACAATTTACATGGAACTCATAGCGTTCGAGACATGTTTAGATAAATATGGGAAGGCATTTGTAACAGACTAGCATGTGAAGGTGAAGATGTGAGCTTATAAACTTAAGCTTAATCATCACTTCAAGTATAAACACGCTTGAACAAACATAATTTTCCTACCTAGCATTGTCAAAATTCATTTTCTTCATCAATATAAAAATCTCAGAACAGTTTCTGGTATTTGAAATGGTTGTTTTCTCTCCTTCCCCCATAGTTATTTACATAAAGCCTAAATCAAATAAAAATGCTTTTGAAGGCAATGTTTTATGTCTTC